TATAATTGATACTCTATAAGTTTTCCTTAATCAGTTTTGTTAGTTAGGAAAGTTGCCATAGTTAGTAATAGAATTATTCCTTTCCTCTTGTATAAAATATTCATTGTGCAGATCAATTCTTGTGAGTATGAATAAAAACATCTTTTTCCATTCAGCTTCTCTGCTCCACGTTTCCTACAATAGGAAATTTATAGGATCAACTGGCAATTTCCTTGTATTTCCTCTCTTTGTGTTTCCATAATATAAATCATAGAGTAACGTACTCTCGAAAATAGTATGACAAAGTAGATGACATGTAAAAAATAGAAAAGGAATCACGTGAATTATGAAAATATGGTTTTAACTTTTGGTCGAGAATTTTCAAATCCATTATGAATCTGGTACACAATATTACACACAAATCATATTTTATATGCTAGGCATCAAACCAAGTCGGTTGAGTGGCTCACAGAAAGAAAGCTCAATGCCTAGCTGACCTAGCCTGGTCGAATATGGGTTGGACCAAACTCATTTAAAATTGATATTGTCTCAAAAAATTTGAAAACAAAATATGCCCCCGTCTGTTTGACGTCCTTGAAAAAGTTTTTTTTACACAGTAAAATTATTAAGCCATTGTTTGTCTACCATTTTTACAAATATTGTTTTCTACGGTAAACAATATCAATCACATATTCACTCAATAAAATATTCCACACAAAAATTAATAAAATTACTTTAAATTTCAACCACGCATTCTCTAAAAAAATATTATTCTTACCCCATTTTTCTATCAATAATGGTAGAAGAACAGGCTCTAATTGACATTTGAAAAAGCAAGTGACAGAGTTGAACAAAAGTCCACTATACTAATTTTCCTTTTTGCCCTCTGTTTGTCATTGAAAATTCCTTATGTGGGTAAAATTAACATTAAAAAACAATTCTAAATGTCTGACATTAATTCATCAGTAAGTAGATGCAGACCCCATTTACTGTTGCTGAAAATAAATTGGATAAATCCCCTAGTACAGGGAATAGTTTCACGGGGACTTACAGGTCCCTCACAAGGGGCCTGAGCCCCACATGTATTTTTGAAAAAAAATAAAAAATTGCAGAGGACCCCCACCTGTATGTGAGAAATTTCCATGTACTTCAAGCAAGGCCTAAATAAATTAGTGTGAATTAAAGGCCTTTGAACGGGCGCTATATATAACCGACACAATTTCAATTTCTAACATGACAACATTTGGAATTATTAGACCTTGTGCAAGAGAGATTATTTGGAAGTGAATTTTTTTTCTGAGTGTGCGCGGTTAAAAAGTAGAAAAATTATGGAAAAATGTGGATTTTTTTTTTAAAATGAGTGTGCAGAAAAGTGTTTTTCGAAAAAGATGATTTTTACTTAGCATCAGTGATCTTACAACACTGATCTAGATGGCATAGAGTAGCATTAAATGATATGATTAATTAAATAAATCATTCATTTAATGACACATATAATCAGTGGTCAAGGACGACTCGATCAGTCCCCTCCCAAACCTTTTATATATATACATATATATATACATATATTTACATATAGTCTGGTTTAAAAGAAAGAAAAAAAAAACTAGTCCAATCTCGAATCTGTCCTTACATATGATGGTTTTGTGGCACTGTTGATACCAATAAGTATCATCTTCTTCGAAAGATCACTTTCACATATGGATTTAATTTCGACGTAGAACGACTAAAGTAGTAACTCTACAGAGATTTAAAGGCAGCAGTATATGTTATTATCAGTGATGGTCCTCTTGTCGAACACAATTGATATAGGCACTACTACTACTCACAACTATACACCTTTGGCATGGCATTTAAATTTCCACATGCAATTCAAAGTTTTTTAAATTCTTTTGCCGACACTTTTTGGGGCCCACTTTCCCTACTGATTCAATTGTCTCCAATTATACTCAAACTTGTCAATCTTCGAAATTATAGCTATCAAATTCGATCCGACAGTAAGATTGAGACTTCTAATTTCAATAGCGGGACTAACAAAGTGATTTAGAGTGGGTTTGTCTCCCATTGTTGGGAGAAAAATAAAGTAATGAATAGCATTTTTTGGAGAATGTGTAGTTGAAATTTGAAGTGACTTTATTGGTTTGTGTATAGAATATTTTATTGAGTGAATGTGTGGTAGAGAATCTTACTGTAGCAAATATTTTTTGGGAATAATGATAGATAAACATGAGATAATATTATAAGTTAATTGAAGTACCAAAATTGAAATTTATCCTCATAGCTATCAAATTTAATTCGACCATCAACTCTGTGGTCGATAAGATTGGGATTGTGTTTGTTCTTTTCTCGTCTCTATTCAAAAATGGTTCTCGTTGAATCTTGCAATTTCACGTTAAAATACGAGTAATTCACAATCTTATAAGAATTAAGAATCTATCTTAAAAGTTAACTACATTAATAAAATAAGTTCAAGTTCTTAGATTGATAATTTTTGGGTAATAGAAGTTTTAACAAAAAAATGGAACTATAAGTGAATAACTAACTTAAAAACATAAAATAAAAGGTTTTCAAGTACTTTACAAATGATCAGAGTTCAAATCTTGTTACAAGAAATGAAAATAATTTTTTATTTGTAGCTGATAACTAATTTTTTAAATTAATGGTTACTGAAAGTAAATCTTTTTTTTTTTTTTACTTAATTAAAAGTAAAACTTAGGGTGGCATAAATTTTGGAATGTCAAAAAAGAGTTTTTGAAACCCAAAAGGCGGCTTTTGAATCCGTTTGACGAATTTTATGAAAGTGTTTTCTCTAATTAAAAGTGCTTTTAGAGGAAACTGAAATAGGAAATGTTTTTCAAAAATTAGTTTCAAACAAAAATTAAAGCCCCCGTTTGGGCCACCTTTTTACCTCATTAAAATGAAAAATATGACTGTTATCCATCACATCAACATTTAAACTCAAATTTTCTATCTCTTGAGTGGGCCCAAATAACGACTATATTTTTCATTCTCATTCTACAAAAAGGTGACTCAAACAGGGCTATTCTAAAATCTTTTCTACATAAATGAAAAGCAAAAGTAAAAACTATGCTAAGTGGGCCCTTAATTTTGAAGTATAACCTATCCCAATTTTATTTTTTTATTTTTTTGCAAGCCTAGCTGCTCCGGCCAATTGCTTTGATTTTGAATTTTTTTTTCCCAATTTTTTGAGCAAATTTTACACTGATTCATGAAATCATTGGAATCATAGGAATATTTGATTTTGTACGTTTTTAACGATTGTGTATGATTTGGACAAACATTCCTTTTTGGGACCGTCGATCGCAGTTTTTACATCCATGATTATCCATCAAAAGTATCTAACGATGGTGGCAACCTGGGACTAGTTTGTATTGCTTTTCTTGTATAACTGAACATTTTATAGGATTCCTTCATTGCCAAAGGCATCTTGTAAAAAAAGGGGAAAAAAAAAAGAGAGCACAGCTTCATTTATTGGCATTAAAAGGAGTCACCATATTCCCAATTGTCCATACATAGATTGGCAGTTCAATGTGAAGCATCAATCTCTTTAATGCATTGCACGTGACTCTTTACAATCATTTAACAAAGCTCATCCATTTGACGTGAAATTCAAATCTCATACCTTGTAATAAAAATCGACAATCCACCACGATCCGTGATCCCAACGCCTATGTCGGACTACTTTTGCACTAACCCATGACTAATTCTAAACGAACGTTGCTACGCCGACATAACCATCTACGCCATTCAATTGCAACTCTAATATATGGTGCCTACTGTAATACCATTGATATAAATCTTGAAAGATCCATGATGTTATTCTTAGTCAACGACTGCATTAACCATCCTACATAACAACTTATTATTTGAGACATTAACTTATTATTTGAAGCAACATAATTACAATAAATTAATGCCTCAAATAAAAAACTGACATATAAAAGGATAATTATTGTAGTCACTAACTATGAATAAACATTATTCTTTAACAAATTACTTTTTGCCAATAAGAATTTATTACAATCGTTTATAATATTAGGCATCATCATTTGAATATATTTTTAAAAAATAAGAATAATTTATTTTTATACACAACCAAAAATTCCCAGCCCAATTGAATTGCACTAAATAGAATAACACTGCACCATAAAATAATATTGTATACCAAATGCGTTCTCTATCGAGATGACGACAAAAGGTAAGGCAAAAGGATAGGTCTGAAGTAGCATTGCGTGAAACATCTGTCTATAAAACTTAAATAAGATATTTTCTATTCAATTAAAATCCAAAAAAATTATAATCAAACCGTCTCCAATGCTTATAATCATCAAACTAGCTTAGGCATGCAAATGGAGCAGCAACAGACTTAACAAGGGAACTCATCAATAAATAAAGGTGTAAAAACGAACTGTAGGGCTCAGACCGGCCAAGCAGAAATGCTCTTAATCTGCCCGACACAACTCGATTTCCACCTCAATCGATATGCAAACAAAAGACTAAGACCCAGCTAGCACATGGTAAAACGCAGCAGAAGGAACCACAAGGTTACCGCTGTAGAAATATACCATACAAGTTCGTACTAAAATATTAAAGCCCCTCGAATAAATCGCTACTTACAACAACAACATTCCTAACTGAATAAAATCGGACATGTCCTTTTACCAACGCTGTGACTGTATAATCGAAGGCAACGACGCTGTTTGACAGCCAACGTAGAGCCAGATGAGCGCATGGTTATTGGACTATATAAATAATAGTTGCATAACAAGTACAGATCATGTTAACTTTTCACCTTCCATCAATCTTTAGTCAATACCCACAAGCTTGCACGATGGCCAACCATATGTACATTGAGTCAAATGCTTGCACCATGTCTTGATTGTACCCTAAGTGAACAAAAAAGTACAAAGCCGACTGCTGATGATTTTTGCTGCTTCCCAGAAACTGGAATGTGATTGACTTGACAATCAAGCCACACGGCATCCAATAAACATCTTAGGTCACGTGTATGAAGGTGTCGGGGTAGTTTTACCTCTAATAGCACCTACTGAAAAATGAGAATTTGAATAATTTGCGTGTGTAAGTGACTTTTTTTTCAAGTAAATAAAACTTATATTATCAATAAGATAACTTCAGCATCTGCCAGACAAAATTAAACTAAGGACAATAATATTGTATGCTATACTGTAACTTTCGCAGAATTTTCTGCTTGATTCTACCACTTCCAAACTGGTAGAACTAGGAAAGGATTTTCGAAGCTATTCATTTACAATTATAAAAGGTTTCCATGTAACCAAATCAAGAAAACAGGATAACCTATAGTTTTGAAGTAGAAATGTAGAGTGATTTAAAAATCACACAAAAAAAATGTTAAGAGATCGTATCTACATTTAAAAGCTCACCAGCTTTAGCTGCCCAGCTTTGTGCGTGAGATGATAAATTCATGTGTTCCTTCAACTTCAGTTCACGTTCTTCACTTTTCTTTCTCTTGGCTGAAGAGCTTAAAGAACCTTCAACTGGGACGAGATAGAGCTTGTCAAACTCAGGAAAATAATATTAACTCAAACTTGGATGCAGAATCATGAAGACCAAAGAAAAGGATTTTGGAACATGGCATTTATGGATACTAGTCATTAATCCATTTGATTGTCAACTTACTCTGTACCTTCAAAAAGGACCATGAGAACAAATAAATAAATCAAGAGACAAACATCCACAAATTGGAGACAAATTATACATGATATTTGGACATTAAAAAATCGGCACCAATAAATAAGATAAAAATATTACCCTCCACTGAGAGAGAAGTAATTATAACCGTACTGCAGTACATGATAAACTTTAACTCTACAATGCTGCTATTGATACCTTGCCATTCCCATACAACCTTGGATTCACCCTTCACTATCTTCGGGTACTGATCCACGCGAGAATCTTCTTGAACTAATTCCTCAACCTATAAACAGGAAAAGAATATAACTCTTGCATTGATTATCAAATTAAAGAGCATTGTAACTTATGCAAGTCGTATGCATCTAGATCAGAAGCTTAATGGACAAGATGGCTTGGATAACTAGAAGATGAAACCCATTGGGAGAATAAAATCAACTTAACGGAATACTACTTGACCAAAACCATCAAAAATTCCATGCCGAGTATCCAGTTCAGGGATCAGACTCAACCATATTTTTATCATTAAATGCAGCAACAAAAGACATCAAAATTCAACAGTCAGAACACAGGTTCAGATGGGAGGGGATGTACGGTTGTAGTGGTAGGGCTTTTGGGTTGCGCTGCAAGTTTTAGCCATGCTGCCATGCCTAACTGGTAAGGGGACAGCTGGAGTTTCCCTTACCTTTATTTTAATTTATTACATAATATTTCTCTTTAATTTAGGAGCTTATTAATCCAAGCTCAAAAGGTGCAATCAGATGCAAAATAAAGAGAAACTAGTTATTGCTCCAGCATTATCCTACAAATCAAACTAGTCCTACATAATGGAAAAAGGATAATGACCAAAACGTGCGACTCGGATATAACCATTTTCTATAAGAAAAAGAAAAGGCAAAAGAAGACAGAGAAAGAAAAAACAGACCACCTTGTTTTTTAAGCTAAAGATATTCAAATCAGAATATACAATCCATACATGGGATATTCCTTTTGATTACGTATTATATTCAACAAAAATAAATACTTACAGAAATGTTTTAAAATGAAAAGATATGAGAAACAAAGACAATTTCAAAAAAAGACAGTTATACCTATCACAATAATTCCACCATATTTGATTACCTTTTTCCAGAGCAGTGTGTCTTTTCTTTCCTTAGGTGAGAGCAGATGATCTCGCAACCACGAGGCTACCACCCACGGTTCATTCCCACTACTTATGCTCCCTTCAAGAACATTGCAAACCTAATACATCATTAGCAGATTAATCAAAAGACTAGGCCTTTGTGCTTCAAGCAACCACGAAAAACACAATGTCTTACTCAAGTCTATATTACTTAGATTCAACAAATCTTCAATGCACAAATTAGAAACTTAAGAAATGACATTGTTCAGTTTCAATCTATTATGTATGCAATCTGATAGATAAAAATTTCAAGATTCCTTTAAATTCATAATCATTAATGGCAAATTTATATTCTATGCACTCTTGCTTCTAATCATATGAAATGTCCTCAACCTCATTTTCTCCTTTGTCATTTCTCCAAAGAATTCCAGCAGCCATTTTACTATCGAAACATATTAATAAGAGAAAATTACAGCAACGGTACCAAACATTTCACATTTATGCAGACTTTGTCCAAATTTTTCATTTGTGCCACCAAAAGTACAAAACCTTTAAAAAAATCGCAACTCCAATCCAAATTGATAGAAAACCGTTAGTTTGATTGTTAGCTGATCAAAAATCAAAGCTCTGACCAATTGTTAACTAATTTTTAAAGGGCGGATGGGTAATTTTACATTTTTCATATAAAAAATTAAAATAAATGAATTTAAAAAAATCCACCCCACCCCACCCCACCCCACCCCACCCAAAAACCAGTTCATTATTTGCTGATAAAATAAAAAATTGGAATCATGCTGACTTCCTCATCGTCGCCGGAAGCTTCACCAGAATCTCACCGTTCACCGCCACCTTCATTCTCATCACCCAACCAAGTCAGTGCCAGGCTTCGTGATCACATACCCATCAAAATCCACCTCCAGCTGCCCTTCCAAAAACTTGGTTATGAGCTCGTCCAATCGCAAAAAAACACAAAAACGTTCAAATCAGTGACCTCCCCACTCACCACATTCTTTACCTTCAAATCCCCAAAGATCTCTCCCCGTACGCCTCTATCACCGTGGAATTCCTCAAGACTTCAATCTTTGGGTTTGACAATCTCTGCTCTGCATAATCTTCGAAACCCTCATCTCTTCGGTGGATAATGTAAACCTTAGAACCAGGGAAGTGGAGGCGTTTGGCGACTGATTTCAGTTCAGAGACAGTTTCATTGAAGATTTCGGTTTTGAACCAAACCAATTGAGTGCAAAATCGATCCATGAGCTCTATCCCGCCGATCCCATCATGGAAACAAGCGACAGAAATTGGTGGCTGGCGAATGGTGGAGAAACGTGTGTGGTGGTGCCGGCATTTTGGGGGTTTTGGGTTGGGTTGGGTTGGGTTGGGTTGGTTGGGAAGGGAGGGGGGGGGGGGGGGGGGAATAAGACCTTTTTTTTATTTATTTAATTATTTTATTGTAGTTTTTTTTATATTAAAAAAATGTAAAGATATCATTTTGCCCTTTAAAAATTAATCAACATTGGTCAGACCTTTGATATTTGGTCAACTATCAGAGGAAGTAACGATTTTCATCAATTAGGATTGGAGCTGCGATTTTTTTAAAGGTTTGGTACCTCTGGTGACACAAATGAAAGGTTTGGGCAAAGTTTGCATAAATGTTAAATGTTTGGTACCTTGACAGCAATTTTCCCTATTAATAATGATGAAGCTGAAGTTAGCCTATAGAAGACCACCAATCCACTGAAGTAGCATGTTGAGGATACTAATTATGAGACATATAACCTACAGCTTCGCACTATCTATTCATCTCTTTTTTCAAATGATCAATACGTTCGCTAACGCGCCCTTCCTTCAGCTGGCTTCCCCCTACCTATTCATCTCTTTTTTCAAATGGATATTTAGGGATCTCTCTTGCCCATAGATCTTGAAACCCAATCAATATCCATTTCCCAAAAAATCTATCTTAGATAGCGTCAACAAATCAGTTAACATCATTAGAACAACCATCTGAAAAACTCGAGGTTTCAAGAGGGATCACTAAATCACTGAACCATAGCAGAGTACCTTGTACTGTCATTAAGCATCTTATGCACGAAGCAGCACATAGGTGTGGCATCTAAAAAATGAACCAAAGAAGCGCCTATAATATTGAGCCTGTGTGTCTAATGAAAAGTGACCTCATTCCTTTTCAATATGTAAACCCTCAAAGTCAATTAAAACTTTCTATTCACTTCCTAAGCTTAAAACTATAGAAAAACTAAGAATAATAGTACCAGATTTTAAATTCTTACTACAGTTTCAATTTACAGAATCATGGATGAGATTGATGTAGCAATATTATAATATCATTTGAAGTAGGAACTCTTATTATAATATCAGAATTTACATGAAAATAATGAACGACAAATAGTATATGAAGCTAATGTCTTTTTTAGGTCAAAAGATATGAAGCCACTTAGAAATTGAACTGCATGCACATATCTTCTAATAACCTATTGCAGAAAATTCAAATGGAACTGTGGAAATAAGTTTTAAAAAGAAACAAGTTTACCTCAAGGTAAAGCTGTTCAGCTCTAACTGATAACCGATGCTTTTTGCGGACCTTTAACACAACTGATATGCATCCCAAAAGCTGTAAATCTCAACATGGTCAACAAGCTTTCAACATGTCCATAACGTAACACAAGCTTTTAAAGCTGCATATTACTGTAGAATACCAATGCACAAGCTGGCACCAAAATGAAAACATTCTTGATAATCCACTTTAGGAGACGACAGGAAAGTGGTGTATAATGGTTCACAAGAAACTCTGGGCACTTGAACTCTTCAATCCTGAATGAAAGACGTGAGCATTTATTTAAAAAGAATATTCAAGAAGTCAAACTACATGGAAGATTGTACAATGGAGTATTCCTCGACAAGAAAATGACAGATTACCCATGATTATTTGATCTTGTCTCCAATAAATTGTGTATGGTTGTCAGTGCTCTTTGCTTCGCATGCCTGTACATCGCCTCATCCAGGCCATAACTATTCATCAACTTATACTCATCTAAAGTATTCCACAGTTCATCCTCCTGGACCTGAAAGATGAGTTTAACAGAACTAAGATTTCATTAACATATTTTATTCAGCTCTACACGTCTTACTTGTTACAGAGAAAAAATCGTTCATGCACGGGATAAATTTCATAAATCCATCACAGAAGTTCAAAAGGGTCCAAAGATCACAAACCCAATAAATTCCAGTTCCACCACACAACGATTGAGCATACTTTTCACATGCACAAACTTCTGCAAATTTTGACTGCAGTTACAACATTTGTTGATAGCATTAGAATAATAATAATATTAATTTCTTGAGTCATTATATGATTAAAGAAATGGAAATAAAAGGTTTATGACGCACTAGTTTCTTAGCTGCTTCATTAATATCTCCATCCTCAACACAAAACTTCCCATGCTTTCTATATCCACGAGCACATTCCAACTTGCCATCATGACATTCTCCATTAGTTGGGCAAGGTTCACAGTAGTCTGAAGAGAGAGCAAAGACTAAGAGATGGTATAAAGCAATGTAGATGCTAGAATTTGGCAAACTGCTAAAGGACAGGAGATTTTGGAGAAACAACTCTTTTTAAAAGAAATGGCTCAATATATATAATTCAATCAAATGAAAAAAAAGGGGAATGGAGAAAGAAAGAAAGAAACATCAGTTGCTGCTATTGTTACAATGTAATATGGTACACTATGAGGAAAGATATTCCAGGGAAGGAATAATCCTGACATACAACCAAATGTCTTCAAAAAATTTAAATGATGACTAGGCTTATAGCAGTATGACATAAAAAATGTATAATTTGCATTAAAATCTGAATGTGCAATAAAATTAACGGCCATGTAAGGAACTAACATACAACCAGGATAATAATGATAACTAATTATTGATGAAGTAATTGTTTCTCAGGTGTGCTCGAATTAGCAAACAACCTTTAAATGATCCATACTCCACTAGCTAACTTTTCAAGAAAATTCAAAAACAATTATAACATGTAATATGATATGAAAGTCATTTCATTCCATTGGTTTCATACTCTTCTATTTATAATTGCTCGTAGTCTACCTTATAGATAACTAATGTTAGTGAACCACCATTGAGAATCATGTTCCAGGTTATACCAAAGAAACATGATATGGGAGCTTATTTAATTTTGCCTTGAAAAGAATTCACAGACAATTAATTGAGAAAGATAGAAAAATGTAAATTGAAAAATGCAATTAGTAAATACAAAAATTAAAAAAGAAATCATAGTGCCGCCACATAATGCCAAAGGAAAGAACGAGAGATGAGCACGAAGTCCAAAACAGTAACCTCTCATGGCTACGAAATTTCAACACACAAAAACAGGAAGCTAACTGAAAGCCAAATTCAATTAATTTAAGAGCGATAAACAAGAAAAAAAAACTTGGAACTGACCGGACAGGAAATCATCCAATTCAGAATTGCTATCACAGAAGGGTTTGACAGGGTGATTGAGAGAGGCTGCAATGAATTTGCAAACCACCGCCACGGAAGCGGCGACGGCAAAAACCCCGAGTAGCCGAACGAAATCGGCCTTGGAAGATGGAAACAACTTAAAGGACGGTTCCAGCGGGAACAAATTGCTAGATGTAGAGGAATATTTAGGGGTTTGAGGAGAGTTTCGATTCGGATTTCGTTTTTTCCTGGGATTGGAAGCCATGATAATGGCTAATTGTGACTCTCTGCAATGGATTCGCACCTCGCAAGTCCAAATTTACAACTTGATTAAAAGCTTCAAAATTTGTTTGAAAATTGACTCCGGACTTTTAAAGTTATAAACATACAAATTTATTTGAAGAATAAAATTACTTAAAAGCAAGGTTAACATTTTCTCGTGTTTGGCCCTACTTTTACGGTGTACTGAAATCAAAATACATATTACATGTTTATTATTAAAAAGTAAATTAAAATCAAACTCCAAGTCTACAATCATAATCGCATAATTTACGAAATTCACAACTTTCCTTTTCGAACTCTGCTATATGTACACCATACTTGTACACTCATCTCACATAGAAAGGGCCCACAAATTTTTTATTCATGGTGGGTCCCCTCACATGTGAATGTGGTGTACACTATGCTATATACACCCATCATTTTTCTTTTCAGGATGTGTTGGAGCCACATTATTTTAGAAGAATGTATTCTCGAACAGTAGATTGATAAAAATGTGTAGTTGAAAAAGAAGGAAATGTTATTAATCTGATAAAAATTATTATTTTATTGAAAAATGTGTAGTTGAAAATGAGTAGAAGAATGAATATGAAAATTTTAACGTAACTCAAACAGGGGCTCAATAACACATTTAAGCAATTTTTATAAAATTTACTAAAATAAAAACAAACTTATTTTTATCTAATAAATCAAACAAAAGCTTAATATAATCGAGCAAATAATAAAGGCACCAAAATTGCATGTAAATTTATAAATAATCATAATAGATGACCTATATGCAATTCACGAAAACGCATGTCACTTTTGAAATATTGAT